AAAGTAAAACTTTCTCCGTGACCCAATCAAAAGACAGGACATGCAACTTATACAGGAAATAACTTCATGATGATTCAATGTGGCTTAAGGTCTTGTTCTTCTCCTACCTAAAAGCACCTCTCATCACCCCCGACCTAGAGTATATTCTGTAGTCTTGGCAAACTAAATATGATCTAAAACATGAAACGGATCATTTGGTCCCCTGCTTCAAACATGGCCATGGCTCCCCACTGCTCTCAGGTAAAGAACAAGCTCCCTAGCAGCCTAGACTAGAAACACACACACACTGCCTCTCCCTTTCATCCTGCCTCTTTGGGCTCCCCCTCCAAATGCTAGGTCCCAGCCACAATGAAACACTTGTACCATGCTCTCTCAGTGCTATCCAGCATTCATGCTAGTCCTCTGCAAAAAAAAAAAGCTATTCTCCTTTGCCTCTCACTCCTACTTCAATCAAAATATCCCCTCTTCCAGGAAGTCATGCCTATCCCCCGCCCCCAGCAAAGTTAGGCATATCATCCTCCATCACAGCCCTGACCACTGAGAGCTCCCTAAGAGCAGGGCCCAGGCTATCTCAGGCACTGCTGGGTTCCCAACATCACTCAGTCCAGGGATGGGAACAGAAGACAATTGAAAGATCTGTTTAGTACATATTCTGACTAATCCACAATGTCCCACATCTTACCAACTCAAACCACAAGAGGACCACAGCCTGATTTCAAGGAACCTTGTCATCATTCCCCTGGCTCAGTCCCAGCAAAACCCTCTCTCTAAACCTGGCTCCCCAGTCCCCGAGAAGAGGACTCCCGTTACTATCTTTGTGTTATCTTGGGGCTTGAATGTGCTCTTACACTGTCCATCCTCACAATCCCCTGAAGGAACCATCTGTTTATAAAACTATCTCCACCCCAAGACAGAGAGCTCCATGAGGGAGCCAGTGATTCCAACATGACCGAAACTAGGAACACTTGTTCAATGAATGAATGAGCAGGTTACTGGGGCTGCGAATGGTGAAACAGATCATTCCCCCAATAGTGGCTCATCATCTGCCATCCCTACCTTCTTCGTTCTACAGGGCCTGGTCCTTCAAGGATATGCTAACTTCTGGCTGTCCAAAAAGCCTATGTAGTCCCATCTCTGGCTGGCGTCTCACTGTCCACCTGCTTCATGTGGTGACAGCAGACGAGCCAGCAGGTGAGTCAGGAGCCTGGTGTGGCGTTCGGTAAGTGACATTTGCACATAGCAAACCAGATGTCGCAGCCAGGAAAAGTACCCCAGGATCCTGATCTCATTACCACCAGGATTTAACCACAAGCAATGCCTTGAAGCCATGAGTCAGAGAGACCAAGAACCCAGTGCTACTGCTTGAAACAAAAGTCCTTCCTAGCATCCTCCCATTTGCCTCAGCCCCACCATGGCTTCCCAATTCCTCCAACTCTTCACTGGAAGCTGAGGACTCCCCAGAGAGCACAAGGATTGACAATCAAATGCCTACAGAGGTCAAGAAAAGAACCAAAGTAAGTAGGACAGCTCAAAGGAAACCCATGGCACTCTCTATCTACCTGATATTCCCCAGGACACAAGTACATGAAATCTTTCCTTTACTTAAATCCCCCATAAGGTAGGCATGATGATAGATGGCAACTAATATATCCCAGGAATTGGGAGAAAATTCCCCATTCTCCAGCAGGCTGATACTTTTTGAGCAAAGAGCTGCTAGGTAGAACAATCCTGGGTCTCAGGTTGCTGGCTTCTCTCACTTTCCCAGAAAAATCATGATTTTTACATGAAATAGCCCTTACAAGTATTGGCAATTAACTTTAAAAAATTGGTTTACGTTTCTGGAGGTTAAAGGAGACATCTACAATCATTGAGTCATCTCTTTGTTTGTTTGTTAACTGTTGCCTACTAAGTGTAAACTCTGTGAAAGCAAAAATTTGCCTTGCTCCACTCTCTCCAACACCCAGAAGAATCTGGAACACAGTAGTAGATGCTCAAACATTTAATCAACAAATAAGTCAGAAATAAACAAAAGAAGGGGCGCCTGGGTGGCTCAGTCGTTAAGCGTCTGCCTTCGGTTCAGGTCATGATCCCAGGATCCTGGGATCGAGCCCCGCATCGGGCTCCCTGCTCAGCGGGAAGCCTGCTTCTCCCTCTCCCACTCCCCCTGCTTGTGTTCCCTCTCTCACTGTCTCTCTGTCAGATAAATAAAATCTTTAAAAAAAGAAAGAAACAAACAAAAGAAGAAAACAGTTAATAGCAGAATATTTAAAATCAGGTATGTCCCAGGAAATATTTATTTGGTTCCTGAAACAAATCCAAAGCCAGAGTGATCCTTTCAAAACATGGGATCACACCCCTTCTTTGCTCCAAAACTTCTCACGGCTCTGTCGCACTCAATCAGGACAAATTCCTCACCAGAACCTTCAAGATCCTATATGATCTGGCTCCTGCTACTTCTTTGTTGCACTCACTCTGATCCAGCCAAACTCGACTCCTTGTTATTTCTTCAACATGCAAACTCCCAACTTTGCACGTGCTGCTTCCCCTTACCGCAACACTTTTCCTCCACACGACTCACTCCCTCAACTCCCACATGTTTTTTCAATCACCCTCTCAGACTCACCTTATTTAAAACTGACCAAGACTCCCTATTCCCCTTTACTTTTCTCCAGGGTACCCTCTGCCTTATTAAACGATATACTTATCAGTTATGTTTATTTACGATCACAGAGGCGAAGACTTTCAAAATCTGTTTTGTTTACTGGTGCAGCCCCCAGACAAAGAATTGTGCCTAATACACAGTAGGCACAAAAAATGTATTTTCGAAATGACGGAGCACACTTCTTCATAAAAACTAACAGTGAGTGCTTGCTATATGCCAGGTTCTTTATACACATCACCTGTTACTTCACTGTACCTGGGGCCTCCCGGGCCTCCCGCACCTGTCCCTCTGCTTGACTTAGGCTTACCTACTTCTCTATCACTACCAACAGCCTGGAAGCTCCCAGAGGCCAGAGCTCGTTCTGATCTCCTCTGAGCTCCCACAGGGGCCTTTCTGCCCTGGTCCTGTCCCCAGGCGCTATGCCTCCCCACCATGTCCCAGCCACACACCTCGGCCTCCTCGCCGTCACTGCTGCGCTCGCTATCCTCCTCCTCGGAGAAATTGCTGTCCTCACTGTCCGACATCTTCTGCTCTTGCAGGAAAAGACGGCGGCCTCAGTGCGTCCTCCAGACAGGAGCCCCACCCCAGCCTCAGTTTCCCCACCAGTTCCCGGGAGAAGAAAAATCCCTGAGCGCACTTCCGGCAGCCTCGTTCTGGCAACCGTGAGCCCGAAAGGCTACCCCCTAAGCCACCTGCTACACCTTCCGTGTCCCCGAATCCGGGCTCTAAGCCTCCCTGGGCCCCGGCGACCCCCGGTCCTGCTACCTAGGCGTCCGACCCACCCCTCACCGCTCCGGTTTTATTTCAGTCTTCGGTACCAGCAGCTGTTCACACGACGCCTGGCTGGGACTGACGTGCCTTCTCGCGAGAACCTACCCGTTGGCCTCGCCTAACGCGAGATTTCCGGCGCTAATCTCCGGCGACGCACTTCCAGGACGCCATCTTGAAAGTGGCAGATCTATCTTAACGTAGAGCATGGAGTCGACATCTTGGGAGGGTCAAAGAGGGGTTAAAGTACTCCCCTTCTCCGACCCGCATTTCCAGCCAGGAATTCGTGCTTGAATTTACTAATGCCGTGTGCCAGGCCGTGAGGAGTCATGGAATGACCAAACAATAATGAATTAGCAAAGAAATCAGACTTTATCTCCTAGAGCCCCTAAAACATTCTTAGGAGGTAAGTACCCCCATTTTGCCGACAAGGAAACTGAAGCTCAGAGAAATAAACTAACTGCACAGTGGCAGACCTAAGGCTCCTCCCCAAGTTTAGGTGACCCTGAAAATCCTTGTTTTCCTTTACAAATACCTAAGTTAAATCAATGTGAATTTACATATTAGTAATTATTTGTCTGACGGTGGCAAAGAGGACCAGGCATGAGAGAGATAAGAAAAATGAATCTGATGAAGGGGAAAACAAATCAGAAACTTTTAAAACACATTGCTGTAGACGAACCATGAAAGACGATGGACTCTGAAAAACAAACAGGGTTCTAGAGGGGAGGGGGGTGGGAGGATGGGTTAGCCTGGTGGTGGGTATTGAGGAGGGCACATTCTGCATGGAGCACTGGGTGTTATGCACAAACAATGAATCACGGAACACTTCATCTAAAACTAATGATGTGATGTATGGGGATTAACATAAGAATAAAAAAAATTGCTAAAATTTCTTGCAGAAGTATTGAGACACCTGGATTCAATTTACAGAAATTTAATATGCACCTAGTTACAGGGTAGCATGGTGTGGTTGGGCAACCAGCTGGCTCACAAGACCAGGGAATGACCAATACCACAGGTGCATGTCTATATAAGCATACACTCCCTGATCCAGCAATCCCAGACTGAAACCAAGACAGACTGGGGAGGGGCTGTCGCACTATAAAAATGTTTTCCCTCTATAAGCTCGGTTCCTTTAAACGGCAGCTCTTCAAAATACGATTCCACATATAAAATGCCTATTGACATTGCTGTAGGAAGACATTTACTCCAGGAACAAGAAGGAACAGTAATTTCCTCCCCATAGAAAGTTCTTCCTTGGTGTATCAGTGGTTCTCGACGCTCAAGCCCAGCGGTACATAAGAAGACGCAAGAAGAGGACTATGCACAGTAGACCCAGAGTGGAAACAACCCAATATCCATCATGAGGACAGTGAATAAACAAATTGGGTGTGGGGTGCCTGGGTGGCTCAGTTGGTTAAGCGACTGCCTTCAGCTCAGGTCATGATCCCAGGGTCCTGGGATCGAGTCCCGCATCGGGCTCCCTGCTCTGCGGGGAGCCTGCTTCTCCCTCTCCCACTCCCCCTGCTTGTGTTCCCTCTCTCACTGTGTCTTTCTCTGTCAAATAAATAAAATCTTAAAAAAAAAAAAAAAAAAAAAAAAACAAATTGGGTGTGTCTATACAATGGAATAGTAATAAACTACTGCTATGCACATGAATGAATCTCAAAAACATCATGCTGAGTGAAAGAACCCAGACACTAAGATATATATATGTAATATATATAATATATATGTCCATACTATAATTCCATTCATGTGAAACTCCAGAAAAAGCAAAACTGATCTATACAGACAGAAAGCAGATTAGTGGGTATCTACGACTGAAGGTGAAGATTGACTGGGAAGGGGCATGAGGGATGCTTTGGGGTGATGGAAATGTGGCTGTGTGTATACATTTGTCAGAACTCATTGAAATGTACACTTAAAATGTATGCTTTTTACTATATGTCAAATACACCTCAGTGAAGTTGATTTTAAAACTATGATGTTCAGGATCCACCAGAGACCAATTATCAAAATCTCTGGATTGGGGCCTAGCCATCAGCATTACTTTAAATCTCTCCAGGTGGTAATTATTTGCAATCAGGGACTTGAGGTACAAGACCCTCCCTGTCCTCTAGGGGTGGGATTCAGTTAGAAGACACCTGTGCCATGCTTTGTCCCTTCCTGGAAGAGGAGAGAGGAGGGAGTGTCTGAGAGGGAGAATAGGGGCAGATGGGGGCCAATTTATCTACCCCCCCACCCCAGGAGGTCAGAGACTTCAGGCTTCGGATCTTATTTTCCTCCTTCTCTCCTCTTCCCCTTGGCTCTTTGGGCTGCACATGAAGTCCTCTGGCCTAAAAGGAGAAGGAGAAGGCTTAGGACTCTAGCTGAGGCTGGAGACCAAGTCCTCTCTCCTCTGCACTCAGCCTCTCCAGCAGTACCAGGGAGTCTGTGTCCTCCCAGGCTCATGCTCAGGGCCGGTGCCGAGCACAGGCCCCCTGTAATAACTCCAAGAGTTTGGCCAGAAAGAGAGGGACAGGTCTCTGAGGATGTCCTTCGCAGGGTGGACAAGGGCCCTGGCCAGTCACCCACAGCCGGGACCCCAGTGCATCCAGCAGACGCTGCAGCCGGAACACGGCAATCCCCAAGGATGGGCCCTCTTCAAACTGGATCACAGACAGCTCCAGCCGGAAGCACCCTAGAGTCTCAGCAGGACACACCTGTGGGAACAGAATGACTTGGTGTCTCTGGGCAAGGGTCTGAACCCAAATCCCCAACCCTGGGGTTTCTGAACCATGGCCTAGGATAAGCCCCTTCACCTCTTTGGCCCTCAGTTTCCTCATCTGTAGAAGAGAACTCTGAAGAATTCCTACCTTCAGGGCTGACACTAGCCTATACCCAGAAAATGACACTTCTTTCTTAAAACACTTGGAAGTGTTTGTTAGAACAAGATACATTACTGTTATCTTCCAGAAATTGACAAATATGTCCAGGTGTGAATACTGCCCTTGTTGAGGCAGGATCCTTGTGCAGTACACATTCTTCACATCCATATGCGGTGGCCCTATCTACCTCATAGGGTCAGTGTGAACAGTAAATAAGTAAATAACCAACTCTTGGTTTAGGCTCGGGTCATGATCTCAGGGTCCTGGGATTGAGCTCTGCATTGGGCTACCCACTCAGTGGGGAATCTGCTTGGGATTCTCTCTCTCCTTCTCCCTCTCCCCACTGCTCGTGTGTATGTGCTCTCTCTCTCTCTCAAATAAATAAATCTTAAAAAAAAAAAAAAAAGGTGTTGGAGACAGCAGTGAACAAACCGTATTTGTGAAGGCTGAGAACACTGAGCCTAGTGGATTCTCCCTAAACTTCCAAGGTCCAGTAAGGAGATAATGAAATACTCACCGAGAGATCATCTGGGGTGTAGAGAGTGCCATCATTTTTGTTTCCCTATAATTTGGGGCAGGGAGAAGAATCAGATCTTGGAGGGGAGAGCCTGACCCTTCCTCAGATATGCCCTCCCACCCCCTCCCTGCCTGTCTGCTGTCTTTCCCCTCCCTCCTCCTCACCAGCATCTTCATTATGGCAACGAGGAAGTAGAAAGGCTCCTGAGGACAGAGGGGTGATCCTAGGCCTCCCAAGGGCCGTACCAGGAGGAGGATGGTCCAGAGAGGCCACACAGGCACCCTGCCCACACCCCAGGCTTTCTCTGGTCCCAGCCCAGCATCCTGGAAGCAACAAGTACAGAGAGACAGAGCAAGTTAGAAGACTGAAGTGTTCTGACCCCTTCCTGCCCAGCTCTACTCAACCCACAGATACTCAGGGAATGTTCTCCAAGAGCCCCAGCGGAAGATGGTCACCCTACAGTAGGGAGGGTCCAGGTCAGAGGGTTCCCTGACACCTTTCCCCCACTGCCCACAGGAAGATAAAAGTCTCAGCAAGGGCAGGAGGATCAGCCCAGAGAGATTGGAGGATTTGGGGAAGTCCCGTCCCACCCCCCTCCCCCAACAGGTCCGTAAGGCAGTACAGAATGCATGAGAGTATGTGAATCCTGTGGCCTGTTTTCTCATTGGAAAACACCCCTGATAGGCTTTATCTGTGTTTGCAGGTGCATATTTGGGAGTCTTTGCTTTCCTTTCTACTTCTATTTCTGTATCATGTATTTCCATATTTCAAATATCTTGGAATCTCCATGCTTCCCTGTACCTGTCCGTCTTCTTTCTCTGAGGGCTGGCCTCTCTGCCTCCGAATCGCCGTCACTTGTGTTTTCTGGGTCCATCTGTAATTGACCCTGTGTCTATCTTCTTTCTCCTCTTCTTCATTGGCCCCTTCTTTGTCTTTCTCCTTCATGTGTGCCTGTCTCTCTTGTGCTGTGTATCGGTCTGTGTCCCCCCAGGTCAGCCTCTGGGTGCTCCCTCCCTCCACCTCTCCCCTCTCTCACCCTTTTGGAGCTGGACTCTGGGCTTGAGGATCCTCCCTCCTGCCACAGACCCGCCCACCAACCTCCACCCAGTCTCCACCTTCCAAGCACAAGGTAAGTCACCACCACCCTTTGAACCTTGGACCTCTGAGTCAGTGCTGCCAGAGAAACGAAGCAGCAACCGTGGGCTCTCTGCAACTCTGAGAGAGAAGCCTTTTGCCTGGGAAGGGAGTATCCTGAGTGTGGGGGAGCAGAGGGCAACTCAATCCTGAGGTTCCTCAGATGGGATCGGGGGGGATGCTGGGGATGGAGAATTCTGTGGGGGAGGAGCCTGGAGAGTAGGGTGATTTGCCAGAGGAAATGAAGAGATGATTTGAAGGACCCTGGAGAAACGGATTCTAGGGTAGGGACCCTGAAGGGGGGCAATATGGGGGGAGGGTCTCTAAGGAGTGGAGAATCGAGGGGAAACCAGTTGCTGGGAAGAGGAGGCTCTGAAGGGAAAGGAATTCTTAGGAAATTAGATTTTGAAGGAGGGGGCTCTGAAAGCGAGAGAGATTTTGTGAAAGGGGATTCTAACGGGGCTGTTCTGGGAAAGGTGGATTGCGGGCAGAAGTAGATTCTGGGGCTCTTGAGTGGAGGAGGATTCAGGGAAAGAGAAAGTCTGGGTGAGGGCTCTGAGGAGGGGGATTCTGGGAGGACGAAACTCTAAAAGGAAGGAAATCCTGGTGAAAGGTGGATTCTGGGCGAGGGGCGCTAAAAGGAAAGATTCTGGGAGAGGACTCTCGGAGGAGGTGGGTTCTGAATCCTGAATCTGGAAATCCTGACCGACTTCCTGCTGCGGATTTTGACAGAGGAGGATTTCGGGAGAAGGGTGTCTAGAGGGCAGGATGGAGTCTACAGGGGAGGATGATGACCAGTGGTACAGGGTAAAAGGAGCCTCTTCAGAGGAGGGTGAGAATTGATCTTTGGGTGGAGGAAGATTATTAAAGATCCGAAATGCAAATGAACCGGCGGTGACCAACGAGGACCGAGAATGTGAAGAACAGCCCGCCCTTACCCTTCCTTCGCGATTGCACCCTCCGCACTTCAGGCCCCGCCCCTTCCACTCCCAGGTCCCGCCTCCTCCGGTTCTGGGACCCACCTTCCCGCCGCTTTTCCGAAGTCCCGCCCTCTGACTGCAATATGAGCCGTAAAGCGCTCTCCCGTCGCGACACAGCAGCCAAAGCGCCTGCGCAGACCCTGAAAAGCGGCCGGGGTGGCCCCGCATGTTCCTTTTCCGGTTGCGGCGCCGCGCGGTGAGGAGCTCTTGCCTTCGCAGCCATGCCGTCCAAGGGTCCTCTGCAGTCCGTGCAGGTCTTCGGACGCAAGGTAGGCCGGGTGCCCGATTGGAGGGGCGGAGGGAGGCCGGGGTCTTCAGGGGCCTATGGGTAGCTTCTGGGGTCGACCTGGGATCCGGGGGCCGAAGCTCACGTGGCTCCGCTGTTTCTTCTCGCTTTCCGCAGAAGACGGCCACAGCCGTGGCGCACTGCAAACGGGGCAACGGCCTCATCAAGGTGAATGGGCGGCCACTGGAGATGATCGAGCCTCGCACGCTGCAATATAAGGTGCTGGCATTGAGGGTGGGCGTTTGGGTTGAGTGGAGGGCTCTAGAGAGAGAGAGTTAAATAAATGGGTTCCTGGAATTCATTGGTCTTGGAAGCTGAGGGATCTGGGATCAACAATGGGATGTTTAGAAGCTGAGTTGGGGACAGAAAAAAGGGTATTTGGAGATGGAGCTGGATTTTTGGGGCTTCAGATATTGTGATAGGAGCGGACAGAGTGAAAACGTGCAGATTAAAAGGGTGCTTTCAAAACGGGGACATTTGGAAACCCACTTATTTGGGGACTGAAGGATAAGGGGAGCTTGTGCGGCTTGGTTTCTTGTAAGTTAATGGGGGACGTGTGTCGTGTTTACAGTCTAAAGTCTTTCTTGCATCTTAGAGTATACACTTTCTGGGGACAGAAATCAGTTGGTTTCTTAAACACACTGTGTCTAAAAGTAGAGTTTGGACATTGTAGGTGCTTAATAATTAAATATTGGAAGAACAGGAACAGAATTAGGGTTTGTCGTGCTTTGCTGTGAAAGGGGTTCCTCCCCTGCCAGTTTTGGCCACAGTTTCTTGAGCTCAGAATGGAAAGAGCAGGGTTTGTTTTTTTGCCTCTTTTACCTATGTTGTTATTTGAGGCAAGTAACTCCATTTTTCTTCCTTGGGTTCATTTATAAAAGGATAATTTTCTACCTCGAGGGACTGTTTTGAGGATAGTTTGTCGGTGTAAGCTTCTTAGTGTGTATGAGAACGCATTTGTTCTTTAAAGTGCGTTGCTCTTACTTTATTACTTTTTTTTTTTTAATTTTAGCGTACTCGAAATGCAATGTTAGTTTCTGGTGTGCAAGGTATAATAAAAGTGTCACTTCTAACTCTGAAAAACAACATTTGTGTTGCAGGTTTAGTTAGAATTTAATATGACAGTGTCTGGGATTCCTTTGCATTGCAGACATCAAGCACTGTGGTTTACTCTTACTAATTGTCATTTATACAAAGGTTTTGTTTGTGTAGTTTATGTTGAGTGCTGGGGACACAGCAGTGATCCAGGTATCCCCAGGCCCTGCCTTCATAGAGCTCCTAGTCCAGTGGAGAAGGCAGACTGGACTCAGCACCAGACCCTGCTGCAACATAGTCCGGGCGGGGATGGGGGAGCCCAGAGAAGGCTTCTGCCTGGGTGGGAGGATCAGGACAGGCTTGGGGGAGGTGGAGGTGAATGTGGGGATCTGTGAGCTGAGACCTAAAGTAGGTAAAACAAAAGCATCCAGGCTCACTCAGCTGCCCGGGTTGTGACCTAAAATCCTGTCATGTTCCCTGTTCCTCCAGCTACTGGAACCTGTTCTTCTTCTGGGCAAGGAGCGATTTGCCGGGGTGGACATCCGAGTCCGAGTGAAGGGTGGTGGTCACGTGGCCCAGATTTATGGTGAGTCCCAGGAACTGGGCACGTGGAGGTGGGGAGGTGACTTTTGAGAGCAAGGCCCTATTCTTGGGCCTTCACAAAGCTGACAACACTCTCTCGTGCATGTATTTCCCTCACAGCAATCCGCCAGTCCATCTCCAAAGCCCTGGTGGCCTATTACCAGAAATGTGAGTGAGAATGGCTCCTTCCCGATGGGTGGGTGGCAAGTGGAGGACCAACCCCCCGTCTTTAGCCTGAGAGACTAGGAGGGCGCTTCCATGGCTATCTCAGTCTTCACTCTCTTTTCATTCCCAGACGTGGATGAGGCTTCCAAGAAGGAGATCAAAGACATCCTCATCCAATATGACCGGACCCTACTGGTAGCTGATCCCCGGCGCTGCGAATCCAAAAAGTTTGGCGGTCCTGGTGCCCGTGCTCGCTACCAGAAATCCTACCGATAAGCCTATCGTGAGGATGAGGGTTCATCTTTATAATAAACAATTGTCACGGGACTTAACGGTTTCAGAGATTGTGCTTTGGTCGTTTGTGGTGGGTCTTGGACTAAAACAAATGCAAAAAATGCCCCAGCCCAATGCCAGTCTGGATCGCAAGCCTTTGCAGAAGACACCGCTCCAGGGTCAGTGTGGATGGGTGGGAGAGGCAGGTGGGAGCAGGCTTGCTCCCAGTCTCCCTGCACCTCCAGTAGAGTCCAGTACGTGTGGGCACGGTGGAGGCCAAGTGGGCCATTGCTTGTGTGAGGTGTCCTTGTGAGCTTGTCTTTTTTTCAGTCCCTTTGCTGCTGTCGTGATGGCGTTTCAAGGAGGAGCGGTAGAAACGAGTACGATCAGTAAACTTGAACACGAAGGCAGAAGGAACCTCCTGGGTGCATTCTGAAGTCAACCGCTAAGGGCGTGCCTGGATTGGAAAGGAATTTTTTCTAGTGCCAACCTGTAGGGAGACAGGCTTGGGATGTGGGGGTGGGGTGGGGTGGGATTTCCCCGACTGGTTCATCTTTCAGGATGTCAGTACTCCTTCCTGGGAAAAGGTCCCGGTTGCACTCATTGTGGTGACTGTTCTTACAGGGCTCAGAATGTGTGTCTGAGGACTTGTTCATCATAGTAAGAGCCAGCACGTAGTGGGCTCTCAGTTGCTACTCCGGGCTACATGGGACATTTCCCTTGTCGAAGAAAGCTCTGTGGGACAGCACTGATGTATGTGTATTAGGGAAGTAAAGTGTTGCTTGTGGATTCAGTTACCTTTGGTCCTCTCCCCTACCCCCCCAACCCTTCGCGTTTTTGCAGGAAGCCAATGAGCTTGAGTGGAAAGGGCATCTCCGCCCACATTAGCCTTGCAGCTACCTGGATACATCAGCCATCCGTCCCCGGGTGGGGGCCCACACTGCTCCCCCTGCTGCCGGGGGTACTGGCAAGAACGTTGGGAGGCAGTTCGACATTGATGGAGGAGGGAAAACTTTACAAGTTATATATATATATATATATATATATATAAAAGAAGGGACTTGAAATCTATCATCCAGTTGCCCTTTTTGTATCTGCCCCACTCAATACATTAGCCCCATGTGGCTGCCATACTGGGCTGCACCAATGAGAGAACATTTCCATTGTGAGGAACATTCTGCAGGACCACATGGATACACAGGGAGTGTACGTGGATAGTGCTTCTTACAGATGGACAGTGGGGTTGATTGGCACCAATTAGGTGCCCAGGTAAGCACTGTCCCTGTGAGGTTGGTGGCAGGCAGGTGTCTAGATGTTAGGTAAGGAAATTAGCCTAGTGGCCACAAACTGCAGCTCACCTAGTTCTGCATTGGAGATGCAGTTAATGAGTTAAGGGTCTGGCTGGCATTAACGTAAATGTCCCAAAGAAGGCAGCAGGGCACCACCCTCCCACTTTGAGCCCAGTCGAACTGTGACTCTAAGGAAGGCTGGGCAAATTTAACAGTGGGCAGACTAGTGTGGACCAGCAAGGAAGGTATTCCTGAGGAGGTGTCAGCTGGGGCTGTGAAGGAGAGCTAGGAGTCTGGCAGGTGGGAGTAATGGAGTCCAGGGACAGGGTTCAGGAGGGGCCTGAAGCAAGCCTGGTGTCCATGGTTCTCCAGGGTTTGGAGACCCCCTTCTGAAGCTCCTGGCTCCCTGCCAGAGGCACAGCTGGGATGCATCTTGCATCTGGAAAGGCGGAGGGGGCTCCCCTCTCCTTCCCCACTTGAGGCTTTGGAGTAGACAGCCCCTTTCTCCCTCCCAGCCGCCTCCTCAAATACCGGGAATTCCGGCGCCACTGGGAGCCCAGGCCAGGCTGAGAACTTTCCTTCAGCTGGGAATGTGTAGCTGGGGGTGGAGCAGGGGAGGGCCAAGCTCAGTCCTGACCTCCGGGAGGCTGCAGTGGAGCGGGCCCAGGCTGAGGAGTCCAGCTCAGCCCCGGCTTTGCTGTAGAGCACAGTAACCATCCAATAAATAACTAAATAGAAGCCAGCAGCTAACATTTATTGAGCCAGGCCTTGTTTGGCTACCTCACTCAGCTAAGAATCACCCAGGGCCCTTGAGGCACTAGGTTATAAGCCTTATTCCAGAGGGAAGTGGTTCTTGAACTGTGCCTGGCACAGGATAAACACTTAACAGTATGGACCCCAGCTAGGCTGTGTGGATCTTGAGTTCCAACTCTGCCCCTTCCTAGCTGTGACTGGGCAAATCCCTTACTCTGTCCTGTTTGCTCATCTCTAAAGTGAGGATCAGAAACCATCCTCACGTGCCTTTTAGGGACATTTGAGAGGATTCAAAGTGAATGAGTTCACATAAAGTGACTAACTGCTGTGCAGTTAGTACTCAATAAATGTCCACTTAGCCAATTGTTAAAACTTCAGATTCCCAGGCTCCTGCCCTGGAAGTTCTGATTCCATAAGTTGGAATTAGATCCTGGATCCTGGGGGATCTGTTAGTTGAACAGTGTCCTGGTGAGTCAGAGGCTCAAATACATTTGGGAAATGAGGCTGTGCTCACTGAATTTTTACAACGATCTTACAGGGCAGGTACTGTTGTAGTTTTTCAGCTGGCACAGTTGAGAAAACCCAGACTCAGGGAGGTCATAACGCCAACTAGAAAAGTCAGGATTTGAACTCAGCTATGACGTGGCGCCTCAGGGAATTCCGGGAAAAATTAAATAAGACAATGTGCTAAGTACAAGAGGTTTAGCATTGAATGAAGCTAGTATTACCAAAGAAACTGCTTAAATTATGCTGCCCGCCCAGCATGCCACTGCTGGGGGGCGCAGAATGATTCTAACATAAAAGCCTTTGTCTCTGACCTGAATTTCTTTCTTGGGGGTGGGGGCACGCTGAGGCACTGGAGAGGTCCCAAACTAGAGCGAGGGGGTAGAAAGATCTGATGTGTGTAGGCAGGCACAAGAATTGGGACATTAATGTGTTGGGGAGTGAGAAATCAGATGTGGAACGGACTTTGCAGAATCCCAAACTCAATTGACTCTGTTGTTAGTGTGGAACAATCTCAGAAATTCTGTAGTACCAGGACCCAGAAGAATCTGATTATGGAAGGATGGATGGAGAGATCAAAATGGTTGGATGGATGGATGGTAGAGAACGTTGGGTGGTTGTGCTGATGGATTAGATGGTTGAGTGAATGAGATGTACAAATGGGTAAAGGGGGAAATATGGAGGAACATGGATGAATGGAGAGGGTTAGTTGGACAAAATGGACAGGTGGGATAATGGAGGAATGGACTGATGGAAGAATGGGTAGGATGATGAATGGATGAATAGGGTAGAGTTGACTAAATCACGGCATATGGATTGGAAGATGAGATAGGTAGCCAGGCAGGAGATGGACACACAGCCGATGGCTAGACATAGAGACGGCTGAACAGATGAGATGCTAGGATGCATGAGCTGGATAAATTGCTAAGGAAATGGACTTCTAAGTCTGCCTGGAACCAAGCTGCTTAACTTGCCTTTCCTGGATGGCATCGAGTAGTTCATAAACTCCCTAAAAGCAAACACCAAATTGTAATGGGCGGTTGTCGGTAATTCTCAAGTTTGAGATTCCTCCTGTTTTCAGAACCACTGATTCATGTGTCCGACCTTCGCGTTCATTGTCTTGTCATCCCCCCACTGCCTCCAGAATGGGAAAAGATACATAACTTCGTAATATTAACAAAATATTAATGACATCCCCTTCCCCATCCCTGCTGAGTTAATAAAGGTAAGTAAAAAGGACCATTCGCCAAAGCAGCTCCCAGGAGTTGGAAAGCTGCAGCAATTTCTACACCTGTGTTCAGTGTCTGGACTTCTGGGTGAAGTTCTGAGGGTCTGTGGCATCTGGCTGAAGTCCTTGCTTTTCAAGAAGCCTGGTCTCCTGGCTCACATGTGGAACGGGGCATCAGGAGCTCCCTGGGCCCTGCGAAGGCCCACAGACTCCTGGGCGGGGGCCAAGAGAGCAGGGTGGTTCAACCTGACCTGGGCCTTGGCTGGCCGAAGCCGCCCGCCACCCCCGACCTGGATGTTGACCGTGGTGGCGTAGCTGAGCCTCCGGGCTGGGGGGGGTGGGGGCTGGGGCTGGGGTGGGGGTGAAGGGGCCCGTGATGCGGGGGCAGAGGAGGACCAGGGACCCCGGGAGGCCAAGGGAGCTTCTCCCCCAGGCCCTTGCCGCCGAGCCAGGCTCTGGCTGATGTACGAGGCTGCCAGGTATCTTGAGAGGGCAGCTGCATTGGGGCCCAGGAGTTGCCGGGTTGGAGGAGGGGGACTGTGGGGTGGGGTCAACTCTGAAGACTCTGACCTGGCAACAGGAGAGGCCAAGTGGCATCCTGGTTTGGACAAAACCACGGTGGTCTGACCCAGGGTGGATAACAGGCCCTGACTGTCCTGAGAGCTTCTTTGCTCAGGCCAAAGTGTTGCAGCCGGACCACGGACGTCGGGGAGGCTCTTCTGCTCCAACAAAGGTGTAAGTTTTTGGACCTGAAGGTCTGTGAAGCTTTGTTCCTGAAGCAAAGGTGCAGCAGAAGGACCCTGGATGTCTGGGAGGCCTCCCTGCTTGGGCAAAGGTGGGAGGGCCTGGACTTGGGTGTCCGGGAGGCCTGGTTGCTGGGGCAAAGGTGTGGCGGCTGGAACATTCAGGTTCTGGGGCAAAGACTGTGGGGTGTTGGCTGGGATCCGACGGTCTAGGCAGCTTCCGTGTGCCGGCAAGGGTGAGGTGCCCAGAAGCTGAATGTCTGAGGGATCTTGGGGGAAAGACACTGGGCTGTTGGCTGGGATCTGATGGTCTGGGGGGCCTTCCCAGGCAGGCAGAGGTGAAGCACCCGGAACCGGAACGTCCGGGAGGTCATGTTGCAAGGGCAGTGCCGTGCTGCCTGGGGTCGGATGGTCCAGGCTGCTTCCGTGCAGATGCTCCACGTTGACGGCTTGGTCGCAAACACCAGCTGGGAACGGAACATCCCTGGAAGCTCCTTGCTTAGCTAACGGGGTACTGGTCGGGCTCTGGCTACGTAGGGGGCCTTCTTGCTTGGGCACAGTGGCGGTGGCTAAGACCGTGACATCAGAACAGCGTCCCTGCCTGGGCAGAGCTGGGCTGGTTGGAACCTGGGCATCCACATGGCCTCTCTGCTCAGGCAAAGAAGCGGTAGCTGGAAGTTGGATTTCCAGGTGGCCTTCCGGATCAGGCAAAGCTGCAGTGGGCGCCTGCACATCTCGGGGGTCTTCCTGCCGGGGCAAGGCTGTGGTGGCTGCAGCCACACTCTGTATATTCCAGGGGCTTCCTTGCTCGGGCACAGGGGTAGTGGCGGGGTCAGGCGAAGTTGAAACATGGAGACCCCGGCCATCCAGGCCGCCTCCCTGCTTGGACAGCGGTGTGACAGCTTGAGCCCGGGCAGCAGGACCCAGGGGGACAGACTCCTGGGCACAGGTCAGCGGGAAGGCCAGCTCACATACCAGCACATGTCCGAAGGCAGGCAGGGGCCCTGTGTGCACAGAAAGAACGGAGTCAGGACGGAGGTCTCCATCTGCGCCGTCTCTGCCGACCACACACGCGGACCTCACCTGGCTCGGCCTGCTCTTGGGGCAGGCGGGGGGACAGCTGTGGCTGCGCCAGGGCGCGGGGCCGGCGGCGGGGGGCGTTGGCCGACGCCCGGGTCTCGGCCCGCTGCATCTGCTGGATCCGCTCGCTGTAGAGCCGCGCTAACTCTCGCACGCGGGAAGCTGCCCTCTCGGAACTCGGGGCTCCTGCCTTCCCGCTCCCGCTGCCTCCGCCCAGATCCGAGTCTTCCAGGATCAGCAGCGGCTCTGGGAACCCAGGCCGGGCCAGCTGCCCTTGCTCCAGGGCCTGCCAGGCGCTCCGGATCTCTGAACAAGAGCGGAATTCCAGCCCATCCGGGAATCCCTGATCTCGGGGGACATCCTGGGGCTGGAAATCTGGGAACGGTTCCCCTTCTTCAGCCTCCTCCCGCCCTGCCCTGCCGCCGGAGGAGGGTTCTCCCAGTTTTGCCGAGCTGCCTCCGGGGACCAGTTCTCTCCTGGTGGCTAGAGCCTCATCGGGCCCCCGCAGAGGTCCCTGGAGCCATGAGTCACAGGGAAGGGCGGGGGCACCGGCGAGACTAGGAATGTCCGGGACACTAGGTATGGCTGGAAGGCAGGGCATTTCAAAAACACTGGAAATGTCAGAGAGACTGGGAAGGCGGGGAATCTTGGGAATTTCAGACAGGCCGGGAATTTCAGGGAGGCTGGGTGCGTCTGGACTTCTGCTAAGGCCGGGAACGTCGCGAGTTTCAGCCGCACTGGAACTTTCGAGTCCTTCCAGGACGTGGAGTGGGGAAGGCCCCCGTTCGTCCATCTCTAGCTCCTCCTCCTCCTCCTCTTCTGAAGAGTCCCGGCTGGGCAGGGCTTGGAATGTGAGGGTTTCACTGTCGCCCGGCACCTGGGAGTCTCCAGGGAACGTGGGAATGTCGTGGGGGGATGGCTGCAGTGGGCACTGGGCAAGAGACCAAAGATGTCAGGGCGGGCCGGCCCTCCTGAGCCCCCGGAGCTGTGCCCGCCCCAGCCGACAGCCCCAAGCACACCATGATGTGATGCCCAGCTCACCCCTGGATCCCGGAGGCCTCTTTGGTTCAACAGTTCCAGGATCTCTTCAGTGATGGAGGTCCCGGAGGGTTCCAGCGTGGGGGGTCCAGAGTCCTCCAGGTCCTCAGGGGGTCCGGAAGCCGGCACTGGTGGCTGAGGCTCTAAGGGGGGGTAGAGCTCCCCCTCACTGCCAGCATGCTGTGAGCAAGGAGAGAGGATGGAGGGCAGGAGTCGAGGGCTCCATCCCTTTCTCCCAGACCCAGGAGTCCAGGTCCCCAGGCCCTGTCGTAGGGTGTTTCTTACCTTGAGTCTAGGCTTAGCTGGGGATGGAGAGATGAGAAAGAGAAAAGAGTGAGATGTGGGAACAAGGTCATTCCTGACAGCTGATGAGCTGCCCCTGTCACCCCGCCCCCATGCACACAGGACATCCCCTGGGAAGAGACAGGGAAGAGACAGACAGACAGACGGGGCTGGACCCGGCTGGGCTACGGCGGTCACTTACCGTTCTGTGGAAATGTAACATACGGGTCCTTCACTGGCTCTGGGGAGAGGACACAGTGATGTCAAGGGCCCAGCTCCCACCGCGTTCTCTAGTCAACTTTTAGGTGGAGGACACTCACCGGACTGTCTGCGGCCACGGCGGGTGGCAGAGGGTCCTGGAGATGGGGCTGTGGGAGAGGGAGATTAGAAGCCCATGAGGGGCCCAGCTCCAGGCTCCCGAAGGGGGAGAAGGCTGGGGGGACGGTTCCTGGGGGAGAAACCGGGGGAGGGGCGGGGAGAAGCTCAGGGTTCCATCTTTACCTGTGTTCCTTCGTCCAGGGGTGAAACTTCTAGCATCCCGAGGATGGGGAGACCCAAGCGGGGGTGTCAGGGGCTCTGGGATAGGCTTACTTTTAGGAGCACCTATGGGGAGACATTTGGAACCCGATAATCTATTTTTCCTTGGGAGTAATCCTCTACTTCCACATCCTCCCAATCCAAGGCCCCAACTCACAGTGCAGGCTGTTTTCAAGGAGAACTTGTTTGGCCTGAAAGAGACAAGGATGAGGGTTGCATGGCAGAGGGGGCCTAAGCACCCCGGTCACAGTCCCATTAATGGGTGCTGTACGCGAGGCACGTCATGTGACTGATGATTATTAGTAATCCCCCCAACTCCACGGGGTCGGTGCTGATTCCTCCAGGTGAGGAAATGGAGACCAGAGAGGTTGCCCTACTTGCCCGAAGTCACAGAGCAGGGACATGGTGAAGCTGGCCTTCAAACCCAGGCAGCCTAACTCTGCAATTTATTGATCATGGTCTAAGAGGGTCCCCCTGTCCTCAGGGTCTTGGGGGGCTATGGGGGTGTGGTCCTCCAGCGCGCTCAAGGCCGACTGATATGGCAGGAGCCATACCTTGGCAGGGATGGAGGCGGGGTGGTTCTCAAAGAAGAGGCGCTGGAGACAGTGAATCCATAGCCTCTTCTCTTCTTGGTTCTTGGCCTGGGGGTGGGACAGGGGTGGAGTCGGGAGCTGGGTGTAAGGTCTAGAGGCTGAGGGGAGCCCTGACCACCCAGCCCCACCTTGCACCCACCTGGAGCAGGTGCCTGTGTTTGGGAATGGTCAGATCGGACACCTTGAACCCTAGAGGGTCTCGAGGACTCTCACTCACGCTCAGGTTGCAGCACTGAATAAGGGGGCCGGGGGGGGGACAGAAAAGGGCAGCAAGCTCAGAGCCCTTAGACTCAGCAGTGTGCACCTTGCACGTATCTGAGCTTAGGAACCCTCTAGAAAGACGTGCCCCGTAAGGTTGCGTGGTGGGTCCCCTTTCCCCCTGTTGAGCCTCCCCACCAGGCCTGGCTCTGCTCCCCCTCACCAGCCCCTCGCCTTCATCTAGATCAAGAAGATGTGCTCCCCTCATGAAGATGCCTGCCTGGTGGGCAAATCCAGCCCCCCCCCCCCCCCCAGGCCCTCACCTGCATCCTGCTGGCCTCACCCCTCATTAAACCTCATGCCCTATCCTTGGACTCAAGAAAACGTGGCCCTTTTGAGCTGGGTGGTCCCTCCTTTGCAGACCCCGTTCCCCGGGCCTCCCTGTAGGGACACGGGTATAGGTATACACGAGAAACCTTGCGGGGGACACTCTGGCCTCGCCCCCAACCCTGAACTCACGAAGATGTGTCCCTTGTAGGTGTACTCCGGTCCCCGGCGCTTGGCCACGAGCAGCATCCGTGAGAATAGAAAGAGCAGCCGCTCGCCCCCTCGAAGTCGGGGGCCGCCCCCTCCGCCACCTCGGAACGCGCCCTCCAGCACCAGCTCCCCGAAAGCACTGAGCTCCGGGCCAGTCCAGCCGCCCAGCCGCCGCTGCACTTCCTGCCGGGACCCCGCCAGGTGCGAAAGGCACCGAAGTGCACACGCACCAAGACGGGGGCGTCAGCCACAGGGCTGTGCTGCCCCAGCTCGCCCTTGGAGGCTGATCGCCCCCACCGGAGGCCCTCCTGCCCCCTGCCCCCATCCAGCAGCCCCAGCCCCCGTCCCCGGGCTCACCTGGAGGCGCGCGGCGTGCTCCTGCTTGCGTTTCATGTCGTTGATGTACCAGGCGACCGCGGTCATGGACACAATGGCCTCTTCCACCATCTCGCGGCCCCCGGCGCCCGGGCCCTCCGCCCAGTGCTTGCCTAGCTCCTGCCAGGCAGCCACCAGGCACGCAGGGAGGGGACAGAAACAACAGTAAGAATGATAATGACAGGAGACAGAGAGAAAAAAAAGGTAGGGGCAGAAGTGGCGACCCAGAGCAGAAAGACACACAGGCAGAGACAGAAAGTGGGGTCAGCTAGGACCAGTCCCTACTGGCCGCAAGCCCCTGCCCCAACTGCCGTCCCTGCTTCTGGGGACTTGTCCTAGGTCCACCCCCAGACATCCCACCAGGTGGCCGACGGACAGGACCTTGCCCTCCCCGAGCAGTCCCCCAGGGCCACAGCCTACCTGCAGCAGCAGATGGTACTTGAGGATCCGCTGAACGGGTTTCAGCAGGAAGCTCTGCAGGGGCAGTGAGTGGCGGAGCTGGGCCTGGCGCTCCTGCAACCACAGGGCTGCGGGCGGGGACAGCGACAGCTCCCGGAGCAGGGCTAGGGAGCTGGGGGCACAGCACAGGTCAGGGAGGCTGGTGGCCCCACATGGGTGGGGCTGGGAGGGGGCGGGGAGTGGCGGGGTGGGCGGTCAAGGGCAGCTTAGGGCGAGGTCAGTTACTGTCACGGTCTGGCAGGGGTTGGAGCTGGATGGGTCGAGGTGGAGGGAGGCTGGCTGGCACAGCAACTCTGGGCAAGGCCTGGGGCCCAGCAGGGGCTCCTCACCCCTCACCTCGGGTAGTTCATGCAGTACAAGGTGTAGATGTCAAAATCCTCACTCTGCGGGTGACACGGGAGTCAGGGAGACCCGAGGTCCCACCTCCCCAGGGGGGCCCCCCTCCGGCCTAGCCCAGACCCCCTCCCAGACTGAGCGCCCTCGCCCCGACTCACCCTCTGCACGAAGCACTCGGCAATGCCCCCCGCGCTGCGGCTGCCCTCCAGGTCCTCCAGGAGCTCGCTGTGAGGGAGAGAGGGTGGTGAGGGACTGCCCCATCCCCACAGCCCCGTGGGAGGACTGCAGGAGATCTGGGGCCTTGGTGGCAGCCAGGATCTCTCAAGGGGCCACCACATCCAGAGGGAGTCTTCTGACTGTGACCCAGGAGGTCACAACCCGCTCAGACTTTGTCCATGGACAGCGCCCTATTCCTTAGCTCAAAATCAGCTGGGGTGGGGGGGCAGTGTCTTGTGATATGACCCAGGAAGAGGGGTGTCATGACCCTCAGAGCTATGAAGATCTTAAGATCCTATTGCGATCCTGAGATCTTGTCATGCTTTCTCCCATCTCCTGCAATAACATGAAGATCTCATGAAAACACTCGGAGGGGTCATGATCCTTGGACCCCAGCATCCTCCTCCCTGGGTCCCACTGGCCAACCACCTGGTTTATCTGGAACTGAGGGAGTTCCCAGGCCGAGGTGGTCACACAAATGCTCACACTGGCATGACCTTCGGGCCCCGTAAGAGCCCTGGATTCATCATGACCCCAGACCTGACATAGTGCTGAGACCCATCCCAGTATTTAGACCTCATCTGGGTCCTCAGGCTCCCATCCATCTCACCCTCCACCACTCTGGTCCCTCACTCCCCATCACGATCCCTGCCCCATGTCACCGCACCCCAGGTACCAGCCTGGACAGGGCACTACGGAGCTCCAAGGTTTGGGTTAGGATATAGCCCACCGCCCCTGACCCTACCGACTGGTGCCCCTGCCCATCCTTCCCGCCTCTGACCTGCTGAACTCGTAGATGTCCTCGATGTTGGCAAACAGTATGCCCACCTGCTCCGCGCTCAGCCCTAGGACCCCACCATCCAGCAGAGGGCCCAGGTAGTCCTGTGGGGATGACTGGGGTTATGGGGGTGGAGGGCTGGCCCGGGTTCCCACTGTGCTCAGGTGCTGGCCTGCCTCACCTCCACAATGCTGCGAAGGTCCCGGACATAGGCCCGCTCTGTCTCCACGATCTCTCGCGCCACTCGCTCCAGCCTCGAGGGTTTGGCCGAACCCGGGGTCCCCACGGGTGACAGATGCAGGCGGATGGGGGGCCCTGGAAGGGGTTCTGGCCTGGACGCTGAGCAGACTGGGGTGGGCCCTGGAGCCGGGTCCCCCTCAGAGCCCACCGTGCTCAGGGATGTGGAGCTCCCAGAACCTCGGGGGGAGGCCATGGCAGGGGCTGCAGGGGCTGCTGGGGGTGTGGAGCAGGAGATCAGGGGGTCTCCCCAACTGAGTGAGTGCTCTCTGCCCTACACTCACCCACACCAGGTCACTATCTTTCCCCCGGGCTCCCGTCTCCTCCCCCCACTGCACTGCCCCGGTCCTGTCCAGTCCTCTCCCATCAGGGTCTGCTCTGGGCTCTGGCCTCCACTCTTCTAATCCACCTCCATGTATCAACCTGGGAGATCTTTATTAATTTGCCCATTTGACTCCGTCACTCCAAGTACAACCCCTTCATGTCCTCAGGATAAAGTCCAAACTCCTCAGATCCACAGGGCCATACGCAACATGGCCATCGAGTCCTTTCCATTCTGCTCTCTTCCCACAGCCACACCACTTCTCACACTCCAGACTCCAGTCCTATTCGACTGCTTTCAGTTACTTATGAAAAACCAGTTCCTCTCACCTCTGCACACACTGTTCCCTCCGTGTGGAATACTTTTCCTTGCTTTCCCCAACTCATTGCTCCTCATCTTTGAATTGTTTAGGTGTCCCCTCCTGCACCAAGCTGTTGGCTGCGCAACTGGACTAGACTCCCACAGTGAGGGGATGGGGCTTTCTCCACCCCCCACCCCAACCCTGTCCCAGCCGTGACCATTCTACCCTGGGTTTCCCCCTCTGGACTGTCAGCATCCGGGGATGGTTCCATCTGCCCCAGCTGATCCGGAACTCTGTGTAGGCAGGGCTGGGGCCGTCTCGGTCACCCCGCGTTGCTAGCAGGGCCCAGCACCCAGGCCTGCACAGCGCCTCAATGCCCAGCGGACCCCACCCTACCCTGCACGCTCACCTGTCTGGGGCTCACACACAGCTGCACAGTCACACACTTCACCTGTGGGGCCACGGCCAAGGCTAGGGCTGGGTTTGGACAGGCTCGGTCCACGGGCTCCCTCGGGCATGGCTGAGTGGCTCAGCGGCTGCTTCAGAAAGATCCCCGTCTCGGATATCAGGAGCCCATCGGCCTCCCCCGCCGCCCACACTCACGGATTAGGCCAGAGAATCAGGAGCGCGGTCTACACCCAGGAGGGACCCCCTGGGAGTAACTAATGGGGCAGACGAAGGCACAGTGACAGAAACCGGGGCACAAGGGAAAATAACACGGAGAAAAAGATGGAAAGGTGGAGACAAAGAAGAGTGAAGCTGGGAGTCTGGTCTGTCTGGGGCCGGAGGCTCAGGGATCCTGGGAACGTTTGGGCTCTGGCTGGAGCCGAGGGCGAGGGGCAGGGCTGGGAAAAGCCGTGGGCGGGAGGCCGCGGGGTCCCAGGGGAGGGCGGAGGAGGCTGGGGGACCGGATGCCAGGGTCCTGCAGACGGCTCCCTCCCCCCGCCCAAGGCTGCGAGTTGGGGCGCTGGCCCTGAGCCCTCGACGCCCCTCCCCCCCCTCCAGCCAGTCCCTCCGCGATCCGCTTACTGTCCCCACCGCCGCGGCCCGGGTCCCCAGTGCCTTCCCACACCCCTCCAGACCCAAACTCCCGCCGGCGCCTCCGCTCGCCCCCCGCCGGCACGCCCCCTCATTGTTCAGCGGCTGCGGCGCCGCCCCCTCCCCCCAGCCCGTCGGGGCCCCTCGCCTCCCCCCTCACCTCCCAGGGAGTCTCCAGCCCCGAACCGAGGCTGCTCGATTCTTATTCGACCCTAGCACGGTCCCCGGGGAGGCGCACAGCCGGACTCCTGGGTCTCTGCAAGTCAGGGGCGTGAACTTCGGGTTCTCAGGCTCCGGGAATCAGAATCCGGGGTCTCTCGGAGAATGGGATGCAGCGGTCCGAATTTCTTGGTCCTCTAAGTGAGGGATGCTGGGAGTCCCGACTCCTGGGTCTCAGATGGGGCGCTGGGGACCCAAACTCCTGAGTCTTCTAGATAGGGCCGTGGGGCGACCGGATTCCTGAGTTCCCTAACTCTTGGAGCAGAGATTAAACCATCTCCAGGCGGGAGCGCAGGGGAGTCCCAAATTCCTGGGTCCCCTTGAAGTAGCGGGCGTTTTAGCCCCAAACAGAACTGGCTGGGGCGCGAGGAGTCCGTATGCCGAGTTCGGATATCTGGGTTCGGATATCTGGGAACCCCTGGAGGTAAATCACCGGTCTGGGATCCCAAGTTCTTTAAGCCGGGGTGCAGGAAGCTCGGCCTGCAGGATCGCTCGGCCTCCCGGCTCCTCCAGGAGGGGGCGCTGGGCACCTGGGTATCTGCGTTCCTTTAGCCTGAGCTTTGGGGTCTCTCAGGGCACGGTGCAGAGACTCGCGACTCCGGAGTCCACGACTTTGGACCCCTCAGGCTCTGGGATGAGTATCACGGGGCTCTGACGGCGGCGGCGCCACATCTGTGGCGGGAGAGTCCGGTCCCAGCTGTGAGGCGGGGGGCGGGCGCCTGGGGCTTCCCCTCCCCCCCAGCCGCCCGGGCTCATATCCTGTTCCCGCCCGCGGGGGGGAGGGGCTGCCTTCCGGCCAGGCAGCCGGTAAAGGGTTAAGACCCCTCCCCCCGTATTCTGAATATTCATGAGAAGGCGAGCCCCGGGCAGGCTACGCCCCCACATTCCAAACGCCTCTCAGACTTTTCCCTTTTACAGCAAGGGCCTTCGGGGCGTGAGAATCCGGAACTGGCAGGGCACTTTCTCCCATTGGTCAGCCAAAACACTCTCATTTGCATATGCAGCAAAAGGCGGAGCTGTCCAGCGAGGTCACGTGGCCAAGAACGACTGAAGGACCTCGCGACGCGAGGGTGCGGCCGGAGCTCCAGTGGCGCAATCGGTTAGCGCGCGGTACTTATACGACAGTGCGAGCGTAGCGATGCCGAGGTTGTGAGTTCGATCCTCACCTGGAGCATCTTTTTCCTCTTAGTCTCTTTTTATAAGTTTATACATCTTAGAAATCAACCAAAACATCTACATCATCACTTAGAGGAATGAACGTTTCGATCTTCGGAGTTTTCGGTCTGAAACTCCTGGAATTCTGACGACCGCCCTGCAGTGTTCTGTATTGTGGGGAGGTGCCGTTTCCATCCGGGCCGCCAGAGGGTAGTGTCGCCTCTTAAATGCCCGAGCATTTAATTGGGTCTGCAAATCTCAGTTTAAGACTTCTGTAGATGTGTCGGGTCCTCTGCAAACGGTATGGCACTGCCTCTTTCTCCATCTTTTCTGTGTTGGATTTTTTTCCCCCAGATATAATTGTCATATAACACCGTATTAGTCCAGGGTATACAACACGATTCAATATATGTATAAATTGTGAAATGATTACTATAAGTTCAGTTAACATCAATCACATCACATAGTTACTATTTTTTTCCTCCAGTGTTTTGGAGTTTACTCTCTCTTTTCCTCCCTTTTTCTGAACTGATTTGTTTCTTTCAACAAATGCTGAACATCCACTCTGTGACTGACTCCTGTTTAGGATTTAGGCATGAGTGATACAGCAATGACAAGACAAAGTCCCTGCCACTGAGGATTTCACATTCTAGCAGGAGAGGCAGGTTTCTATAAGCATGAAAACTACATTTTATATGGTAGGTGGTGGTGAATGTCATGGAAAAAGTAGAGCAAAGTAGGGAGGATGAGGGTGTCAGAGCTTCAGTGTGGGTTGTAATAATAATAGTCAAACACCATCTCACTGAGGAGACATCTGAGCAGAGACCCATAGGAGGGGAGTAAGTCATGGGGATACCTGGGGGAATAGTCCAGGCAGAGGTAGCAGCCAGTGCAAAGGCCCTGTGGCTGAAGCAGCAGGTCAGGTATAACTAGAAGGCCAGCGTGACTAGTTCAGTAGTGGCCAAAGAACCAGGACATGTAGGCTGGTGAAGGACTTAGGACTTTGCCTTTTATGTGATCTGACTCTGACTCAGGTGTCAGGACAGGTTCCCTGGGGTTGTCTTGTTAGGGAGTGGGGAGAGACTGAGGGTAGGTCCTGAGCCGGTGAAACCAGGAAGGGGCTGCTAGGAAGGTTCAGGTGCAAGATGATGCTGGATAAGACCAGAGTGGGAGCCACAGGAGACACGTAGATCTATGTAGAAGGTATCAGACAGAATTGCTCCTGGACTGGGCTGTGGGTTTGACAAAGAGGAGTCAAGGGGACTTCCAGGTGTTTGGCACTGGTAGCTGGTGGTAGGGGTCATTTTCTCAAATGAGGCTTTTGTTTTAGGAAGGGGCAGTAAATCTGTTTTTGCTAAGGGAAGGGCCAGAGATGTCAGTTTCTTGTTCTTTCAGTGTCTGTAAATTGTCTCTGCGTGGCTTGTTCTTGCTCTCTACCTCCCTAATGTCTTTGGGTCTCCGTGTTTTCTTTTATTCCAACCCTTTCTCCTAAGTCTGGGTATCTGAGCCCTTTCCCAAAAATGAGGGGAGGGCAGTTTCTGGGAAGAGGAGATCAGTGGTCGGGGCCTGCCAGTGGGCAAGGAGAAAGAGCCAAAGAAGAGAGGGCAAGGAGGCAGGGGGAAGGGAGGGGAGAAGGCAGAGGAGGGGAAGGGCCTGGAGAGGGTGAGGGAGAACACCAGCAGGAGGGAGCAGAGGGGTGGGGAGGAGAGGTGGAACCGAGAAGACAATGAGTGAGTGAGCCCGGGAGGAAAAGGGTGGAGAGGGCGGAGTGGGGGGGAGAGGGGGGAAGGGAGAGGAGGAGGGGAACTGAAGGAAAGAAAGGAGGGGGTGAGGACAGGGGGTGGGGGCTGGAAGGGGAACACATTAAAAAGGGGGAAGGGAGAGGACTACTGGGGGAGAAGAGTTGGGGAGGGGAAGGGCGGCGCAGGAGGAACTGACAGGGGGGAGGGTGGGGAGAGGAGAGGGAAGTGGGGGAGGGGAGAGGAAAGGGAAGGGGGGGAAAGGGGTTGAGGGGGGGCGGAGGAGGCGGCGGAAGGGGGGCGGGGCCCCGGCGCTGACGCGGGGCGGCTTCCGGGCGCGGGGCGGCCGGCTCCCCCGCCCCAGGGTGGTTCCCGCAGCCTGTTGCCTTGTATGGTCCGAGGACGCCGCGGTCTCCGGGGCCCCGCCCGACGCGGCCGCGACCCACACTCGGGCCTGGCGAGCCCGAGCCCCCCCCCCCCCCCCGGCCCCGCCTGGAGCGCGAGCCCTTGATCTTCCAAGGCTCCCCAAATGCCGAACTTCTCGAGTCCCGACGGGCCAAGACTCTGCAATCCCGAGGCTCTGGGGGCCCGAAAAGCCAGAATGCTGCGTTTTGCGGTCCCTGCAAGTTTTCGGAAACACGAGGGGGCTGGAATTCCGAGTCGCCAAGACTACCTCTGAGATTCTGGAATCCTGGGGCTCTCACGCTGCCTGCCCCGGGGTTAAGAAAGCCTGAGTTCCCCCAGGCTCTCACGTCCTGGAACGCCGGGTGGTGGAACCCTGGGGCGCCCCGACTTTCGGGCTGCCCCCTCCCCCACCCGCCGCGCCACCCCCGTCCGTCCTGGGCTCGCGCCCCGGCACATTCCGTCCTCTCCGCTCCGCCCCGCCCTCTTCCCTCGGCCCCGCGGGGACGGAAACATGCCGTCCCCGTCCCCGCCCGGCCGCGAGCTGGGTCAAGGAGGCGGCTGGACGGGAGCGCCTGCGCCCCCACGCCCCGGGAACCGGCTCTCCGAGTTCCTAGGGTGACCTCACCTGGGCCCCGCCCTTTCAGGTAGACGGCCGGGCCAGGTGACGTCACTTCCTGCCAGGTAAGCGCCGCGGGCGGCTCTGCGAGGGTTCGAGGGGGCGATCGGTCGACCGTACCTACCTATCCCGCTTCTGAAAACAGCCCACGCCACCCTCCCCGCTCCTTTTTACAGCTTCTAGACCGCAGAAAATCCAGGATTCCAGCTTACACGCAGATTCCTTTTATTTAAAAATTCCAAAAAACACAAAAATAAACTTTTAATAATATATTACTTAATATATTATAGTATACTTAATAATTATTCCATCGTTTCCAATATTACAAAAAGGAGGAAGAAAAATACAAGGGAAGCAGACGACCCGATATATATAAATACTATAAAATCTATTAGAATAAATAAAGTCGTCATAAATAAGGGGCCCAATGGCTGGGGGTGTGTGGGGGGGTGGTGTTTGGCAATGGCTTTGGCTACTTGCTTTTGGAGGGAAATTTGAGCACCAGGATTCCCCCTCAGGGGGACGCTCCAATCACCACCAGACACTGGAACTTCAGGGTCTAGGAGAAATTGGAAGGGGGCAGTGGGAGCCTATTATTCACAGCATTGGGAAAGGGAGGGGTGGGTAGAGGGCTCACTGCCTTCCTCAAATCTGCTACATTTTTTTTTTTTACAAGACCCCGGAAAACTCTCCTTCCCCCAACACCACCAACACCGAGCTTGTACACTGGGGACCTGCCCCAGCGTGGGGTCAGGGGAGTGGGTTAATGCACTTTGGAAAGTGCGGGGAGGCTACTTGATTGAGTCCCGCAGTTTCCCACAGCCCCCGGGGCCCCTGTGGAGCCCGCGGCAAAAGAGAAATGGCCCCCTTGAGATCCAGCTGGTCTGTACTGGGTGGGCACTTGTCACTCAGAAACGGAGATGCGGTTGAAGATGGGGAGTCGCCGGGGGGCTGCAGGCGGCTGCGGTGGCCCAAAAACCCCAGCCTCGAAGACAGGGGAGTCGGAGCCCCCCAGGCTGCTGCCACTGCTGGCGTATTCGTCAGGGTCAGATCCCAGCGAGTGTGCAGAGGGGCTCCGAGCGAGGCCACCTAAGGGCCCCCAGACGCTACTGGGGGTGGCCTTTCGGCAGGAGGGGCAACAGGCCAGAGTGGGGTCCCTTCGGGCCACCGGGGTCCCAGGGGCGGCAGAGAAGGCAGAGGGTGAAAGTGGAAGGTCCCCAGGTGGTGGTGGTGGGGAGCTGGAGGGAGAGAAGGAGCAGGAGGACAGGGAAGGGCCTGCCAGGCCTGCTGGTGGTGGTGATGTTCTGCGGCCGGAGGGCAGGCCCGAGAAGCTGATGCTCTGGCGCAGCACATGGGGGTGGCCTGGGGCGGCCAGATCTTCGCTGGGGTTGTGGATGAAGTGGCAGCGTGAGCCGTAGGGGCAGCGGCCCTGGAGGTAGAACTTGTGGCAGAGTTCGGTCTTGTACTTGGGGTGGCGGCTGGCCTGGCGCAGCTCGCCCAGACCGTGGGCAAACTGGCACTTGGCCCCATAGCGGCAGCGCCCACTCTCTGAGAAGGTCCGACATAGCTCAGTCTTGTACCGGGATGAGGTGGTGGGGGTTGCAGTAGGTGAGGTGGGTGAGGGCGACAGCTCAGGGCCTGGGCGGGGAGCCAGGGGGGCGAAGCCTGGGGGTGGCGGCACCCAGCCACAGCTTCGACCCTCCACCAGGCTGGTGGAGCGGCCAGGCAGGCGGGCACCCACCCCAGCCAGGCTGCTGTCCGATGAGCTGAGGCTCCAGAGCCCGGAGGAGGCCCAGCCCGGGCTGGACTCGGTCTCTCCGTGGTCAGATGGTAGGTCAGGGCTCAGCGACAGGAGGCTCTGTGGGAACAGGGATTGTTTAAGACACCGAAAATGCTGGGTGACGCCCCACCACAGCTGCAGGGCACCTAAGAGCCTGCCAGTCCGGTTTGTGGGCTTCGCGGCCTGAGCCCCACCTGCCCACATTAAAATACGGGTGCCGGATCGCGGGGATCCCTCTTTGGGCGTTCTGAGTTTATTCGCGACAGGCGCCGATCCCGAGGGACCTAGGCAGGCACCCCGGATCCCCCGACCGGATCAAGAGGAGACCCCCAAAGTCAGACAACCACCACTGTCCTCCCAATTTCGAGCCTCTGGGCCCCTCGGGATCCGACCCCGCGCATGGGGTTCTCCAGTTTCACAACTGGAGAAGCATGCAAACTTAACCCAGGAGTCGGGATCTTTTCGAGTTTAGAGTTCCCAGAGTTCTCCGCTGGGTCAAGGGGTGGAGAGACAGAAGTCGGCTTCCCCTCACCCCGAGACTCCAACCCCAGAAACGCCTCCGCGCAAAACCGCGCCCTCAGCAACTCCTAGGGGGGTAAGCCAGGTGTGGGGCCATTTCCGCCTCCAGACAGCCCGAGTCTGAAAAAAGTCCTCCAACTTTCCATCTCCGAGGGCCACCCCACCAATGTTGCGGCGGAGACCCGAAAGTCGCGAGCTCCATTTGCACCTCCCGAGACTCGCACTGGTCTCAAAAGGGAGACAGGGACCCCGGGCCGGAGTGTGCGACCCTTCCTAGCTGCAGTTGGCGAAGGGAGCCGGAGGTCCCGGGCCGGACTTTTCGGCGCTAGAAAGCCCTAGTTTTAGAAGGGAGTCAAGCCAGCGGACCCCGGGGGTGTCGGTCGGCGGGGCTCACCTCGTAGATGGCGGCGAGATCCATGGCGGCGCGAAACGCCGATGGGCTGCGGAGTCGGCCAAAAGTGGGAGCGCTGAAGTCAGGCTGCGGTTGGATGGCGGAGCCGGGGTTTTTATAGAGGCGGTGGAGGCGGGGCCAGTGGGGCGGGCCCCGGTGGGTGGGGCCAGGAGGGGCGCTTCCCGGACGCGCGCCCCCAGCAAGGCCCTCTGGGCCCCCGGCCCCCGGCCAAGACGGACCAGAGCCCGGCCCGCGGGCGGCCCCGACCCAGCGGGGAGTGCCCAGGGTTGGGAGGGGGGGGTGGGGGTGGTGTCGGCCCAGTTTTCAAGGCTGGAGACGGAGGCGTGGAGAATCGAACTGCGCCGTGGTGGGGGCAGGGCTCCCGGGGGAATTGACACGGGCTGAGGCCAAGAGGGCGTGCGCCGGAGAGGCGGACGGGGGCGGGGAGAGACGCAGGGAGAGAAAGAGACAGAAATGGAGAGACCCAAAGAGAGACAGACGTGGAGGGAGAGACACACGCTGGGAGACACAGACACAGAGGGTGAGACAGGGCAGGGAGAAGAGAAGTTGGGAGACAGAAAAGACATGTTAGAGACAGTTCCAGAAAGACAAACTCGAAGCGGGAAGCGAGAGGGAGGGCCACATAAACAGAAAAAGGGAGAAAAACAGGGAGAAACAAACACCTACAAACACAAATCCGTAGGAGCAACACCGAGAGGAGACCAACAGGCTGGATGGGGAATTCTGAGACCTGCCCGCCTGGCTGGGTCTCACCCCCAAACAGCCCAGATCCGGAGACCTTTGATCGCTCGCCATCCTCCTACCCCGACTCGCCGGGGGCGTGGGGCCCGGGATACCTGGAGAGGCAGGAAGGGAGCCTCTCATGCTCACACAGATAATGAATGGCACTTCCGACTGTTCTATGAAAGTGCTTTACATACATTGATTGACTCAAGGGCGTATTATGCCCATTTTACGCACCAGGAAACTCAGGCACAGAAAGGCCAAGTTACTCTCCTAGTGCCTATTACTAAGAGTTTGCCCTCTGAGAAAACTCAAGATTGGAAAGGGGGAGGTCTTTTGTTGTGGTGGAGGGTTGCCTTGATGGAAAGTCGTCTGGAGGCGGGAGAAATGGGTCATCCCCCGACCGATGGTTGCAGGGGTGTCTTGTAAAGGGGTGTGCCTCGAGAGAACTCTTAATTTGCGGGGATTACGCCCCAGTTTGGCAAATCTGTGATTGTCAAGGGGGTGCCCTGAGTGACACTCTGTTACAGAGACCTGGGAAGAAAGTTTACTTTTAAGGGGATCTTGGTGAGCTGGCTGCCCTGAGTGAAAACCTGGGGGTAGAAATCATTGCCACAGAGTGCAGTTATAAAGGTGGAAAGTTTATTTTTGCAAGCTGCGACCGCGGGCTCGTACTGAGGTGGGAAGAGTCGGCAGGCACACCGACTTGCCTCATCGGACAGAGCTCGGGGGAATCCCTGGTGCGGCGCTTTCTGGGGCTGAGGGGCCTTCCCGGCCAGTCCCGTGAGCTGGGCGGCTGCGGGCGGCTTTGGCACGGTTGCAGCCTCCCGCTCGCCCGTGACTCATTCGCAAGGGGCGGGGGAGGGGGGCTTCCTGGAAGCCGTGACGAGGAGGCTCGACCCGGACGCTCGGGTTCCTCTCTTGTAACCAAGGCTTGTGTCGCCTGTAAACACAGCCTCGGGGACAACGGGAAAGAGGGGAAAGGGGAGGTGTCCGGTACCCGCCTCCCGGCTGGGCTCCAGATCCCTGTGCCGCTAGTAGGACGGAGGCGGCGGGGAAACGGGAGGTGGGGAGACACCCCGGGGTCCCCGGAGTCTGGTTCGGCCCCGGCCGCGATCCCGGAGGAGTTTCGATTCCCTAGGGACAGGGAGCATTTCCCAGCCCTGAGTCAGGCTGACCCCCTCCCCTCTCCTATCTGCTTAGTCATCGGCCCCGAGAGCCAGGACGCTTGGGATTGGGCGACGCTCGAAGAGGCTGGAGAGGGAGCTTCGCGCGGGGAAGGGCCGACCCTCCACCGAAACGCAGACGGGTGGGACCCCGGGCCCCGGGCCCCGGCCCCTCCTTGCTCAGATCTAGGGGTCCGGATCTCCAAACCACCTCTCTGCTCAGATCCAGGAGACCGGGCCTCCAGCCCCTCCTACGTCAGAACCCCCAAGTCCGGGCGCCCAGCCCCCTTCTCTCTCTCCAGTCCAAGTCCGAGCCCCCAGCCTCTCCCCCCTTCCCATCTAGGAGTCTGGCTCCCATCCCCCTTCCCACCCCGTCCAGGCCCCAGACGCCCAGCCCGGGAGGAAGTTCAGGGCAGGACTTCTCCCCGCTCCCCACGTAGCCAGCGGGAAAATCCGTGGCCCGAGCGGCGGCCGGGAATCCCCTCTGGAATGACGGTGGGGAAGGGGATGGCCGGGGTCCCCCGCGGGGGTGCAGGGGGGTAGCTCCTGGGCGGGCCGAGCGAGGAGGAAAGGGGCGGAAACCAGAGCGGCTAAAAATACTGCGGGCACTTCCGGCCTAGGGGGAGGGGAACGGAGAGCAGAGTTTCCAGAAAAACAAGCGGGGACGGGAAACGCGGGGGTGTGAGAGTCGGTGCGAGCGCGCGGGCGAGCCGGGGAGCGTGTCCTCGCGGCACGTGTGCGCGCCTGGCGTGCCTGGGCGCGAGCGGGCGCCGCCGAGTGTGCAGCTGCGTGGGCCAGCCGGGGGGCGGGGGGGACCGGGTCGGACGTTGTGTGTGTGTGCGTGTGTGTGTGTACTGCAGGTGCGAGCGTGGGTGCCCCGGTGTGGCGGGGCGCACAGTTAGGGGAAGTAGGTGTGGGACACGAGGGTGCGCGCCCCGCTTCCTGTGTGAGGGCCGCGTCCTTCCAGTGCCGCCCGCCATGGCTGTGTGAATACATGTGTGAAACCACCTGCGCTTGTGTGGGTGACTCTACTGTTTACTTTAGCCATCTCTGCGTGTGGGAGTGTGTACTCAACTGCAGCTGTCTCCGAGGGGGCCGTCACCAGAACGTGTGACTTGCATACCTACATGCACACCTGCGGAGCCCGGCTCCACGGTGGGCTCTGGGGTGCCTAAGAGTGGGGAGCTCCTTGAGGGGTGCCTGCTGAGGGTCTGGCTGGCCGGGCCTCCTGGCGGGAGGCGGGGCTGTGAGCGCGGCGTGGAAGCCGCGTGTGTGAGCACCTGCGTGACTGTAGCTGGCTGTGGCTGTGTGCATGGTCCCCGCAGCTGCGTGTGTCGCAAATCAGTGTGTCCAAGTGTCTGTGTCCTTATTTGGGGTGAGGCTGAGAACACGGGGAGGCCACAGTCTGGATGAGGTTCCTCTGAGGCCCAGTCACAAGGCAGTGAAACTGGTGAACTTCGGTTCCTGACGTCTACAATGCACATGATGGGGAGGGTGGCTGGTCACTGTTCGCCGCCTCCATGGGCAGAGCCGAGACAGACACGCATGCACTTGTACCTGAGAAGCATTATCTGTCCCCAGCTAAGGCTGCTTTCGATAATGTTGAGCTGAGGGTAGGGCTGAGTCAGCCTGTGATGGGCAAAGTCTGCGATGGGGTGCAAGATAGTGGGTTAAGTGGTGATTAGAGAGTTGTTTGTATATTCATGTGGTTGGATTGTTCCTTTAGGGTCTGTTTGTGGGACTGTCACTGGGCCGGAGATCCTGGGGACACCATGACTGTAGGACGGTGGGTTAAGCTGTTCTCTGCGTGGTCTCTTGTGCCCTGTGTGGCTGTGGTTCTCATGTACACCTTTCCCTGGAGTATGTGGCCGTGCACCAGGCTGTATAATCTCCCTCTGGGTCTAATAATCTAGTAAAAATCTCCGCTAAAGTCCTTCGTGACCTGTGTGAACTTCTACCCCTGTCCCTGTGCTGTGGTCCAGGCCTCCACACTGTCCCATAAACACATCAGCACATTCCTGCCTCAGGGCCTTTGCGCTGGCCGCTCTTCTCCCTGGGATGCTCTTTCTCCAAACGCCCACATGCAGTCTGCTCCAGTATCACCACCTCAGCAAGGCCTTCGTGACCTCTGCCAAGGAGTTTTCTTCCCCCAAAGTAAATCTTACCATCTATTTAACAAGTAATATGTGTAACATCTATTTACAGACCATAATAATAATGAATACCCACAGACCACTACCCAACCTAAGCTCTCAAACTTTTTTTTTTTTTAACACAGTAACATAATTCTCCAACTGCATAGCTTGCATTTGTGTCAGACTTACTCCTGTGGAACAGTATCTTCAGCCAGTGCCCGAGAGAGAGGTCTGCTACCCTTCCTGGGGGCCTGCCCTGCATGCCTGGCACTTCAAGAAAGGAACCTTCTGGGATGTGTACACACACATACACATATACACACACACAGAGGGGCTGGCCATTTCCCAGGACTCCAGTGTGGGAACTCGGGCTCTGGGTGAATCACAGGTCTCCATAGTCCCAGGCTTTCCTTCCAGATGTGGGGTCTAGGACAGGACGCCTCTGAGTGGCGAGATGGGAACCAGGGCACAGAAGGTGTTGGGTGGGGCAGTCCCGCAACCAGGCTGACTCACTTGAGCCTTTCACACCCCAATAGCTGGGCCTGGGCTGGTAGCTCCGCCTTGTACTTGCCCAGGCCTGAAAGCCAAGCCTGAACTCCCGAAGCTCGCTCTCAGAGAAGAGGGGAGCCCAGTGGGCCACCCTTCCCTGAAGCCCCCTCCCCAAGGCCTGCTTCCCGGAGCTGGGGCCCAGGCGCCTGGGTTCTTCCCCAGGACTGATGATTCACCCCTGCTAAGGCCTTTTCACTTCTCCTTTGGGGCTAAAAATACAGGGACCCAGGCATCCAGCTGGGCTAGGCTTCACCACGGATTGCACAATGCCCCTCCTTTGAATGCTGCTGACGCAGGCTCTGGGTTCGGGTGGGGGGAGTGAGTTGCTCTCAGACCAGGCATGCTGAGGTCAGGGCCTAGAACCCCTTCACTTCCCCTTTCCTGGGCTGAGGACCTGGGGGCTGGGCTGACAGGGGAGGTGCTGGGGATCCCTGGACTTGGCGGTGGCCCCTAGAAATGCAACTTCTTCCCCTAGCCCCAAGTAACCTAGGGGTCTGGCTCCCGGAATCCGGCCCCCTTCAGAACAGAGTCACTTAGGAACTGGAGGCAGAAGAGAGCAAAAGGGGACTAAGACAGAGATGGTCAGAGACAGGGAGACAGGACCACAGAGGCAGAGAGACAGGGACAAAGAGACCAAATGAGAGACCGACAACAGACCCATGCCTTAGAAACACACAGAGAGACAGCTAGAAAAAGGAGCCACCACAGAGAGACCACCCCCCCGACAGACAAAATCCGGAAGGACTGAAGAAGAGAGGCAGGTCAGGGCTCTTTGCTCAGGCCAGGCTGGGGGAGAGCCCCTGGAAGAGGTCATCAACAGGCGGTCCAAAGTGCATCCCGGCTAGGCAGGACAGCAGGGCGGGGCGGGGGGGGGGGGGGCCGGGAGAGGCAAGGCCCCGCCCTGCGTGCTCCCTGCTGGCCTCTGCTGCCCCCTGCTGGCTCCGGCCACAGGGCTCAGGCGCGAAGAAAAGGCAGAGACCAGGCTGCTTTGAGGTCATTTTCATTCCCTCCCCGCCCCCTTCCCGCGCAGCCTGCCCACTCCCAGCCTTGCCAGCTCACAGGGTGCCCCCAGGGCCTGTAGGTGGTGCAGGCGTCTTGCCCGTGACCTTGTTCGCGCAGTCCAGGAGAGCAGTGTGAATGTCCTTGGCACAGGCAATCTGGGCTTTGATGACTGCCAGGTACTGTGGGTATGGCAGGCTGTCCGGCTGCACGGCGTCCGGTTTGGTGGCCGTGGGCACCAGAGTTGGAGAGTGCTTGGCGCTGTCGCAACTCTGGGACAGGCACTCGTGGGCCAGGCGCTGTGGACGGGCAGGCAAGGTGCGGCATCAGGGTCACTCCCGGGACTCCCAACCCCACCCCAAGGGCCAGCCTCGGGTAGCCTGCTTGGCCTCTGGACTCCCAGGGACTTGGAGTCAGAGCCTGGCCCTGCCAACCACATGCTGGGTGACCCTGAGGCACGCGGCTGCTTCTCTCTGAGTCTTTTTCCTTCTTTGGAAAACAAAATGGGCTTAATCACTGCCTTTGCTACCTCGTCAGGTGAGAGTGGGGAGAACAGCGTGAGAGACAGCCACAGGTCCTAGCACGTCACGGAATGAGGGTCAGCTGCCGGTACTGGGACTGTCCTAACTCCAGCCCTGACCCTGGCAGTGACTTCTCTGATGACACCTACTCCTGGTTTTCCTCCTCCTTCTCTGGCTGCTCTGTCTAGTTCCTGCTTACTCTGCCCAAGCCCTACGGGGGGCAGTTCCCAGGCCCCAGCTCCTCTCGTTCTCATGGCCTCTCACGGCTGTCCCACCCACATACACCACTCAGCTCTCACCTCTGCAGTGACAACACCACACCTGTGTCCCCAGCCTCCCCTGAAATCCCAGAGTTCTTCTACCCTCCCCACCAAACTGTTCCTCTTCCTCTTCCTGGGTCCCTATCTCAGGAAGGGCACTGCCATTCCAACTGGAGCCCTGGGCCTCATCCTGGAGACCGCTCCTCCCACGGTCCGGTAGCCCCGTGGCCTGTACACAGAGCCTTCTGGGTAGCTTTCCCATCTGCTCTTCCCCACTTCCTCAGGGCCCTGTCCTGCTGCAGCCTAGCCCACCTGAATCCTGTCATGGTTGCCTCCTTGGACTCTCAGCCTCCACTCTTGGCTCCTCTGACCCATCCTTCACTTGGCAGCCAAAGAATATAGCAGCCGTATTCCTAAAAAACCCAGCAGGTCCACGTTCTTCCCTGCTTAAACTCCTCCATGGCTCCCCAGCACCCTCGGGGCTATATTCAAAATACAACAAGCCCTGGGGCGCCTGGGTGGCTCAGTCGGTTAAGTGTCTAACTTCGGCTCAGGTGATGATCTGGGCGTCCAGGGATCAAGCCCCACGTCAGACTCCGCTCAGTGGGGAGCCTGCTTCTCTCTCCCTCTGCCCCTGCCCCCTGCTCCCGAATGCACATGTGCTCTCCCTTTCAAATAAATAAATAAGAAACCTTAAAAAAAAAAAAAAAAATCCAACAAGCCCTAATGCCTACTATATCTCAGCTAAACTGAATTTCGTGACATTCCTAAAGGGAAATTAAAGTAGAACCTGTTCCTTCTGGTTGGAACACCCTTCTACCACCACCAGGCTTCTCAAATTCTGACTTTTCCTTCAAATCCCAGTTTATTTTTTTATTTTTAAAAATATTTATTTATTTGACAGAGACACACAGTAAGAGGGAACACAAGCAGGGGGAGTGGGAGAGGGAGAAGCAGGTTTCCTGCTGAGTAGGGAACCTGACGTGGGGCTTGATCCCAGGACTCTGGGATCATGACCTGAGCCGAAGGCAGATGCTTAACGACTGAGCCACCCAGGTGCCTCAAACCCGTTTAAAATAATGATGATGATGATGTCACTACAGGAAACGTTTGCCACGTGCTTCGTACCATGTTACGCTTTTTACATATATGATCTTGCTGTCTTTCCCCAAAATCCATTTCTCAAAGGAGAAACCCGAAGCTCACAGGTAGAGACTGGTGGTCCATCCAGATTCCAGAGGTTGTGCTCTTAGCCACCTGCCCTCCTCGAAACTCCTGCCCCTCTACTATTTTTGCTCCAGCCTCAGCTCAGATGTGCTCTCTACCAGTAAACCTCTCTGAGCCACCCTCTCCTCTCCCTGCCCCACCCTAGGCAGAGTTGGGTGCCTTTTTTGGGCTTCCACAATCCTCTGAGCTTCCCTCATTTCAATCCTGACCCCTCTTCCTGTACCTCCCCCATCATAGCCCTGACTTCTGTGGCCTGGGCTTTTCCTATTACAGCCCTGAACACTCTCAGCTGTCACTGTTTGGGGATGTATGTCACCCCACTGAACTGGAAGCTTAGTGAAGGCAAGAATCGGAGTAACACTGTGTCCCCAGCATCAGCTAAGGCACAAGTGTGGCCCCTAGGAGATGCCCAGTGTGTGCTGACTGACTGAATGACAGTTCCTGAAGACCTGGGGACTGAGGCAGGACTGTGGTCACCCAGTGTCTAGGAGGCCACTTACCAGGCACAGCTCCAGCTGGTCACAGAGTGCGTAGAACTCCTCCAGACACTTGTCAAAGCGCTGTATGGGTCCATCACTGCTCTTTCTATAGCCCAGGAGAAGAAGGTGACTGGAGAATGGATTTCCAATCTCTGGGACTTCAGTGTCTACCCAACCAAGTATCCATCAGGAAACCAAGTTTAGGCCCAGAAGCCCCAAGGCAGGGCCTAAGGGGCTGTTTTAGAAGAGGCAAAAGAGCAAGCCTAGTCGCTAAGGAGTGGGGCTCGAAAACAGAAGGAAGGAGGATAGGTGGGTGAGGATCCAGGTGTGAGGTTCTAAGACTCGGGAAAGGGGACTATACTCACTGTCCGTTGTCAATGTTAGTGTTCTGAATCAAGTTCTGGGCTGCAACCTTCATCAAGGTCTAGTTAAAAAAAAAAATGCAGAAAACAGAGAAACAGAAGGGGACACTTTTGATAGATCTACACTCTTCCTTAAGATCTATTCAATTTCGGGGCACCTGGATGGCTCAGTCGGTGTCTGCCTTTGGCTCGGGTCATGATCCCGGGGTCCTGGGATGGGCCGGCGCCTGGCTCCCTGCTCAGCGGGGAGTCTGCTTCTCCCTCTGCCCCTCCCCCGTCCCCCCCATGCTTGCTCTCTCTCTCTGAAATAAAAATCTTTTTAAAAAATCTATTCAATTTCAAGCCTCCTCTTCACTTGGCACCTCTCCTCCGGTCAATCCAGAGTAGCAGCCATATTTTCCCAGAGGCCCGCTCTCACCTAGGGTTCTCCCAGTAATCTCCGACAGATCTTACAGTCCTCCCACACCCACCAATCACGGGCAGAATCTCTGTAGAGGCCAGTCCTTTCCTCAGGCTTTAACAACCAGAGCCTTGTTTTACCTTTAAACTCCCTCCCACTCGAGTTCCGGCCATTCCCAGGCCCAACATCCGTGCTGATCCGCTCACACTATCAATCTGCAGAGCTTCGCTTTGGCCTCATCAAGAGGACCAAATGTCATTCCGCTTTCCTGCCTAACGCTTCTTTGCTCTCTCCCAGACTAAAGAGCCCCTCTGCCCTCCCCCTTGGAATCAGAGAACCAAACCCCGCTAGCTTCTAGCAGCTCTCGGCCAATCACCTGTAGACTCTCCTTCAGCTGCGGGATGAGCATCTTATAACGCTGCACCGGATCGAAGTCCTGTTGCTGTTGCTGCAAAAGCCCGCTCTGGGCAGGCCCCACCAGTTGTGCTGGTGGTTGCGGCTGCTGTTGCGGACCCGGGCCACCAGACGAACCCGGACCCGACACACCCGCAGCAGACGAAGCAGCTGCAGCCTGCTGCTGGGACGCAGCCATCTTTCTCAGTTTAGCGCGCCGGAAGTGCGCCACAGAGCGTCTCTCCCTGTTTCTTTTTAGCGTCTCTGTCTCCAAGCCCCGCTTGCTAGTTAGCTCCGCCTCCCAAACAACTCAGCCAATGGGAGGAGAGAATAATCGCCTCCCGGATTCGACTCTCAAATAAGACGTCCAGACTGAGATACCGATTCGCCAATCACAAGAGGCTCTTCCTCCCTCGCTCCGCCCTTTACCCAGCCGTTTGCCAATCCGGGTGTGGGTGTAATCCGGACTCTATTTCCCAGAAGGCCTCGCGGCCTGAGGCGACCTGTCGGGTCCTCAGCGTCTTGGGGGCAGTTGGTGGAGCCGGAGCTGCGAGTCCGTCTTTGGCGCTGCCTGCGCGTTTAGCTGAGTCTCCCCTGGAACTCTTCACCAGCCTACCTCATTCCGACCCTACCCCGGCAGAGAGCGGCGCCAAACCGAGCCCTCCCTCGGATTAGGCGTCCGCCGACGTCGGTACCCGCCTCCGCGTCTCGCCGCGGCTCAGCAAGGACCCCGTCCGGGCTTCCTTCGCCTTGTCGCCATGGCGCCCACCATCCAGACCCAGGCTCAGCGGGAGGATGGCCACAGGTAGGCGCCACGCCACCTGGCTGTACCGCTTTCGTCTAGGTCTATCCAGGTTTCGGCGAGGCGGGGGGTCGGGCGCGGGTGTCTTCCTACGACGTCACCAGCCCCCCGGGTCCGCCAGTGATGCCAAACCCTCGCCGCGAACGCCGTGACATCACGGAGCGCTCACTTTTGACAGACGGGGGTGGGTTCCTTCAGGGATGGGGTGTTGCCCCCACCTCCCTGCCATGGAGTTCAGGGATTAAGCTTTTGGGAGACTATCTAGAAGGGATTGTGCGTTTATTACTTCAGTCAAGCGTTTGGAGAACCCCTTTGCTAAAAGCAATTGAGCACGTAGTTCTATTAAAGCACATGAAGACGGCCCCTCCAAAAGGGATTGAGCAGTTGGATTCATTCATGAAAGCGTTTGGAGACACTTTCTCTGCAAGGAGTTGAATCTTAGGGTCCTTCCGTTAAAGTTCTTGGAGCACCCAAGGGATTACCATTTGTCACCCCCTCCCTTTTTTAAAAGCTTGGAGAAACCCCCCCCCCTTAATTCTTCTGTCAATCCTGTTTTCTCCATCTTTCTGTCAATGTCTCTCTCTCTCTCACCTACCAGGCCCAATTCTCACCGGACTCTGCCTGAAAGGTGAGCCCCATTGAGGTTTCCCAGAAGGGGTGGGCCAGTGGGGGCTGGGAGCAGAGGTGGGGCAGCAGGGGCTGGGTTTTGAGCCACTGTATTCCCAGGTCAGGAGTGGTCTGCCGAGTCAAGTACTGCAATAGCCTCCCGGACATTCCCTTCGACCCCAAGTTCATCACCTACCCCTTTGACCAGAACAGGTGAGACTGAGATGGAGGAGGGCGAAACAACTCAGATCATGAGTTCCTTGAGGGCAAGGATTGCTTCTTTTGTTGACTGCTCTCATCTCAGGGCCTAGAACAGTACCTAGCAATATGGTAGTAGGTGCTCCATAAATATTTGTTAACGAATGAAACAAGCAGTGTCCTAGTCTTTTCCCACTGAAGAGCCAGCCTTCTGACTCCAACATGGGGGACACTCCCATTTTGAGTTCCTCCCTCGAAAAGCTTAGGCTCTGGGAAGCAGGAATGTGAGGGATAAAGCTGGAATCAGGAAAACATAATGGGTATGTTTCCCCACCCAGGTTCGTCCAGTACAAAGCAACTTCCTTGGAAAAACAGCACAAACACGACCTCCTCACTGAACCAGACCTGGGGGTCACCATTGATCTCATCAACCCCGATACCTACCGCATCGACCCCAACGGTGTGTGGGAAGGCAGGGAGGGCCTGCTCTAGGCCAGCAAAGGCCAGGCCCTCCCTCACAGCCCTCATAGTCCTCCTACCCCTTTGTTCTCCTCTAGTACTCCTAGATCCAGCTGATGAGAAGCTTTTGGAAGAGGAGATTCAGGCCCCCACAAGCTCCAAGAGGTGAGAGTGTGCTGAGTGGGGATTGGAGATGGGGCGGTGGGGGGAATCTATGATGGAAGGACGGTGGTGGATCCTAGGTGCCTAATACTCTACCCCCAGATCCCAGCAGCATGCGAAGGTGGTGCCGTGGATGCGGAAGACTGAGTACATCTCCACTGAGTTCAATCGTTATGGCATCTCCAATGAGAAGCCTGAGGTCAAGTAAGTTGTGGTGGGTAGGGAGGGAACGTGGAGATTTCACGTGTGTCCAGTGATCCCTAAAGGCCTCTCTCTTTACTCCTAGGATTGGGGTTTCTGTGAAGCAGCAGTTCACGGAGGAAGAAATATACAAAGACAGGGATAGTCAGATCACGGCCATTGAGAAAACTTTTGAGGATGCCCAGAAATCGGTATTTGAAGGACTGGGATGGGATGGGGTTGGGGGCAGACCAAGGTGCAGTTCCAGAGCTCCACATTCCTCCTCACCCACCCTGTTTTTGCCCCTACCAGATCTCCCAGCATTACAGCAAGCCCCGAGTGACACCAGTGGAGGTCATGCCTGTCTTCCCAGACTTTAAGGTCAGATCCAGGGCAGGAGGCAGCAAGGGATAGCCTGCCATCTCTGCTTGTCCCAGTCTAATCCCAGTGCTCTTGCCCCTAGATGTGGATCAACCCGTGTGCTCAGGTAATTTTTGACTCAGACCCAGCCCCCAAGGACACGAGTGGTGCAGCTGCTTTGGAGATGATGTCTCAGGCCATGATCAGGTAAGTAAGTGGCCCCACTGCCCACCTTGGCCTGTTCCTCACTGCTCCTTTGTTCTCACTCTTCACTCTTCCTCCTCTTCTCCCATCCAGAGGCATGATGGATGAGGAAGGGAACCAGTTTGTGGCCTATTTCCTGCCTGTGGAAGAGACGCTGAAGAAACGAAAGCGGGACCAGGAGGAGGAGATGGACTATGCACCGGATGATGTGTGCGTGGGTTGGGGTTAGGTTTTGGGAATTGAGGACTGGGTCTCCCTTTTCTCCCTCATAAGAAAGAAATGGGGGTGCTGACCTTGTTCCCCTCATCCTCATCAGGTATGACTACAAGATTGCTCGGGAGTACAACTGGAATGTGAAGAACAAAGCTAGCAAGGGCTACGAGGAGAACTACTTCTTCATCTTCCGGGAGGGTGACGGGGTTTACTACAATGAATTGGAGACCAGGTACTTGGTACACTCCTACCTCAGATTACCCTGGGTCTGTGCTTTAGAATCCTGATCCTAGGGTACGTGGGAACTACCATGGAGGTCATTTGGAGGCCTTGGAGGCATTTCAAATAAGAATAGCAGAAGCTTGCTTGAGCATGTGAGCTGGACCTGGTTCTAACACACGAACCCAGGAAAAAAATCTCGAGATTGAGCTATTTTGTAGGGTGGATAGCGAAGTTCCCTCTGATGTAATAAGACTTTATGTGAAAGTCAACATAGGTGAAATACAGAGTAATACATCAAATTAGCATAAATATTTTAAATGAAATCCTGGATACCCGAGTTAAAAAAGGGGATCCCCACAAACTTTCTCCTGAGAGCTAGAAGTTTACTCCTGTGCTAGGGACCTTGATGCAGTGTTAAGGGTTGGGAAAGAAAGTGTGACTTTGAGTTTGTTTAAAGCAGACATCACAAACTCTGATCCCATGTAAAAGGTAGCACTGTGGGCTGGTGGGCTCTGGGTGACTTGGAGCTCTTGGCGGCCTCCAAGGGGCACCATGACCTAGCCCAGCAAAGGGCTCCAACCTATTGTTGCTATTCTGTGGGAAGGAAAAGTCCCAGTGGAGCCACAAATTAACATTTTCCAAAAGCCAGCAATCTAGATTCTGTGCTTTTAAGTGTTGCTAATTCACCTTAAATCTGTTACATACACCGAACACGTGTGTGTGTGTGTACATTTTATAAATACATGCGACTCATGGAGCTATTATCCTTCCCTTTCCCTTATCCAACCTCTGACTTTAGTCTCCTTCATTCAACCTGCATTTATTCTGGTCTGTTCTGGAGTAAGCATTGGTGAGAAAGTAAGAACCAAGTCAGAGTAGATCCCCCGCTGGGGTCTTTAAATGCATCTTCCACACACCCCTCCCCACCAACCTGCCCACTGCAGGGTCCGCCTGAGTAAACGTCGGGCAAAGGCTGGGGTTCAGTCTGGCACCAATGCCCTGCTTGTGGTCAAACACCGGGACATGAATGAGAAGGAATTAGAAGCCCAGGTAACAAACCTCACTGGCCCAGGGCACCCATGGAGAGGGTGGGGGTGGGTGAGGAGAGAGACAGAAGCCTGACAGTACACCCTCCTTCCCCTCAACCCTGCCACTTGTAGGAGGCACGGAAGGCCCAGTTGGAGAACCATGAACCCGAGGAGGAAGAGGAAGAAGAGATGGAGACAGAAGAGAAAGAAGCTGGGGGCTCAGGTAAAGCTGGACAGGCCAAATCCCAGGAGCTCTGGAAGGGTGGGAAACTGGGTCTCATTTCTCCCTGCTCCCTTACAGATGAGGAGCGAGAGAAAGGCAGCAGCAGCGAGAAGGAAGGCAGCGAGGATGAGCGCTCGGGCAGCGAGAGTGAACGTGAAGAGGGTGACAGGGATGAGGCGAGTGACAAGAGTGGTAGCGGCGAGGATGAGAGCAGCGAGGACGAGGCCCGGGCCGCTCGGGACAAAGAGGAGATCTTTGGCAGTGATGCAGATTCGGAAGACGATGTGGATTCTGATGATGAGGACAGAGGCCAGGCCCGTGGCAGTGACAATGATTCGGACAGTGGCAGTGATGGGGGTGGCCAGCGGAGCCGGAGCCGCAGTGCTAGTCCCTTCCCCAGTGGCAGTGAGCACTCCGCCCAGGAGGATGGCAGTGAAGCTGCAGCTTCCGATTCCAGTGAAGCCGACAGTGACAGTGACTGAGTCCCAGGTCCTTCAGGGTTGGTGCAGACATGATTATAATGCGATTATTACGCGCAGGAAGGCACTTTTTGAGTGGTCTGTTTGCGAGCCCTTCCCTTTGTTTCCTTCGTCTCCTCCAAGCCTTGCTGTTAATAAAGCCAACTTTTTTCCCTTTACGTCCCATCCCAGCCCTATGGTCTCATTCGCTTTATACCTCTCCTTTCCCCCCAACCC